AAATGCTAGGACTAGGGGTATATGAGTGGGGCTACATAAGCTACTTTTGCCATGAAAAGTTATCTTAAGCCCACTGACTTTTTGAAAAATACCGAAAAGACATAGAAACGCAAGCGCGCGATTTAAATTATTAGAAATTAAGAGAGGAGACAGAACATGAGGATCCAGAACTTTGCTTAGATATGCCAGTCAAACTAATCCCAGCTAACAAGCAAACTGAAGGAAAAAGCAAGTAGAATATATCGCCATATCCGCCTCTCGAAATAGCCGTGACTGAAGGCATAACTTAAGTTGACAGCACTGATACCGTAACCTCTAACTGTCAACCTACATTCCCTACGCTCAGCTGTCAGATTTGCTTAGCGGAAGTAAAAGAGACGTTACCGTGGCAGAAAGTGCGCACACAAGCAGAGGACCACACAGGCAGACGCAATGGGCAAAACCTTATCAGCATTTTAGTCCAATGGGTGATTTCTTCTGCTTCTCCTCCTCCTCCTCCTCCTTTACAAAATTCTCTGGTGATACAAGTCGCAGTCACTGACAGATAAGCAGCTGGTCTTGTTTCTTTTCGTTCTGTTCCTGAAAAAGAATTGTTGAAACAGCCAGCAGAGTAAAAACAAGGAACTACTATCTTGCATAGGTCCGTCGTATTTAATTGCAAGCTGCTTGCGTCGATCCTTTACTGCTTTATCCAGTAATTTTGGCAAAACCATTACATTGTTGAGGCAATATAACATTACACATGTTTCCAACACTTGTGAGTAACCTGCATCTTGGAGGATAGAAATATAGATGCAGTATGAAGTTTATATTCAGAAAAAGAAGTAGATGCGATCACTTGGACAAGAATTCAATTTTCCTGACGCTCTGGATCCTGTTGAGAATCCTTAATCATAGGTAACCCTGGAATGGTGTGAGACACGCGCAGAGGTGGGTGATAGATGTACAGATTGTGCGGTATTTATAGTTCGTAGCGGCAATCTACATGAGTACTTTAATTATCAGCTGCTATAACCATCGCTTGGGGTCGTAATTGGTGCGATGATGGCTTGACAGTTCGCTTGCGAGTCATTAATGGCCGCGCTTTCGTTGTCCGCGTCAGATGCGGGCTTGATAATTGCGCGACATTTATGTTCGCTGTCATTTGCAGTTGTTGCTGGGTCCGGGCCTTCTCACGTGACTGATTACGCTGCTTAGATAATGTATAAGTATTCGCAATTATTTTCCGTTCCCGCAATGTCTACTGAGACATTGTTTGGGGTGACACATGCACAGGTTGCGCGGTATTTATAGTTTTTAGCGGCCATCCGCATGCGTGCTATAATTATCATTTCCTGTAAGCAATATAAGTGAATAGGCGAGTTCCGAGATGCAGTTGAGACGAAAAAGATGCAATCACTGGAACACAACTTATATGTTCCTGACATTTCGGATTCTGCCGAAAATCTTTAATCATACGTGACCATATAATCATATGAAACATGCATATACTGGGATGATAAATCCACAGATTGCGTAGTACTTATATTTCGTAGTGGCGTAATATAATTATCAGCTCCTGTAACCACTGCTTTGGGTTTTAATTGGTGCGGATGGCCTCTACGAACTATATATACCTCGCAATCCGTGCATATATCACCCCAAGCATTGTTAACTTCGAATCTGGCGCTTGCCGTGACTAAAGATATAACTGAAGTTGACCACATCCAAAAACCTTACTCCTAGACCTAAACCTATATCTAAAGCCTAATTCTGACCTCTAACCCCAAGTTTAACGTTAACAATGCTGGTAACGCTCAAAAGGAGGCGTGCCCTGGAATGAACAGTAGGGAAGGGAGTTCACCTCAACCTACACAACTGATAGTAAAAAAATAGGGAGAATAACATGTCCGATTTC